CGGTGTGAGTGCCGGGGCCGCAGGGCCAGGCCCTCCGGGCTCTGTGCCACGGCAGGAAACCACAGAGCCTGAAGCTCCCCCGTGGGGTTTCCCAGGGCCCCTCCACCACCCCTGCGCCCCCAGCAGCTGCAAACCAAACCGGCAAACACCGGCCGCTGAAGGGGCAACGGTGGGATCCAGCCGTCAGAGGGGAGTCAGGAAGAAACACCGACGCCCTGGGTCAGGGAAATACCAGCCTCTGCGCAACCCCAGCGACGGCCGAGAGGAGTAAAGGGGAAAACAAAACCATCAAACGTTCCTTTCCATAAGCCCAGGAAAACATGGCATCCTTCAAAAGAAAAAAATTCTTCTGAAGGAAGAATGATACATCGGGCTGCTGTTTTCACTCAAAAAAATGTAAGGAATGCTTCCTGCGGGAACGAGGGCCGCGGGCAGAGGAGATGGACCGAGAGCGAGGGGGAGTTTGCGGACAGGCGACGTGAATGGCCACGGGGCAGGGAAACAGGAAATAATGTGGAATGAAGGCGCGTGACGACTTAGGGGACGTTTGAAGACGAAAACTGGACCCTTGCCGGGGGGACAACTGATTTTCCAGGTGAAGACACGTGAGCGGAACAGAGACAGTAGTGAAAGATATAATAGAAGAAACATTCTTGAACTGAAGACGGATCTCAGTCTATTGAACAAAACGGCTCATTGGATATCGAGCAAAATTATTGAATATTTTATATCAAATATAAACTATCAGACAAGCACACAGCACAACACTCAGAGTGGCCCAAGGGCATCCTGTTCAAACACCAGGAGACAATGAGGGCGGCCACCACGTCATGGCTGCAAACCCAGGCTTCCGTACCGAGCCAGGTCATTGCGGGGTGACCTGCTGCATGCCAGCTACAGGGGGACTCAGAAATCGTATTGAGAACAGTCCCTCTCTGAAAAGCCAACTCAAAACATTATCCAGGCAAACAGGGGTGACGCAAAATAAGGACCCACAAATGGGGAAGGCAGGCGAGGCGTGGTGGACGGGGGCGTAGAGACCATTGCACCTAGAGTTAAGTCCACGTAGCTTTTGTGAGCAAACCGAGAATTACAAAAGAACCACCATTAAAGCTAAAACCTTCTCCACCTTACAAAGAACGATGGCTCTTTGGGGTCTCACCGCAAGGGGATAAAGATGCGCTTGGCAGGTAGAACCTAGGAGAGGTGTGGATGCCGTCAGGTTCACGGCAAGCACCGGAGTCTCTGTGTCCCCTGCTCACCCCAGGGCCCTTCTGACACAGCTCTCATAAGAAAGTACATCCGTCTCTGTCCTACCCCACGATCTAAGCCCTCAGCTCAGCCGACTCCCTCCTGCCAGGCCCCTCCAAGCCTCGTGATCTGCATGACAGTCTGCTCGTTTCCAGGGAAACAGGACCAGAAGGGGATAAATCTACATCACCTACATCTATGCCATCTATATCTATATCTATCTGTCTCTGTCATCTATCTATGTATCTGTGTATCTATCATCTGTCGGTCATCGATCTGTCATGTCATCTGTCATCCATCCATCCATCTATCATCTATCTATCTATCTAATCATCTATCTGTCATCTATCTATCTATCTATCTATCTATCTATCTATCTATCGATCACCTATCTATCTATATCATCTCTCTATCTACATACCTATGCCCACAGGTATACCTATACCTACACAGAGAGATTTAAGGCATTGGTTCATGTGACTGTTTGGGGTGGCAGCTCCAAACCCTGCAGAGCAGGCCTGAGCCCCAGCTCTGGTCTGAAGACAGTCTGCAGTCACAATTCTTTCCTCCTCAGGGGACCTCAGTCTGTTGTCCCTAAGGCCTCCAGCTAATTGGGTGAGGCCCACCCACACTGTGGCGGGCCGTCTGCTCTATTCAAATACTGCTGACTTCACGTGAATCTCATCTAAAAAATATTTTCATGGCGACATCCAGACATGTTGGACCAAATATTCGAGTACCCTGGTCCAGCCAAGGTGATACATAAACTTATGTATCATGCCTTGTCAGTCCTTTAAAAATTAAGTTTTCAAAAACCATAAGGACAGGCAA